TAAGATTTTTATTTAGTATTATTACACACTTCTTATGTATAATCACAAAAATATTTTATACTTGTATTATTTTAAATTCAAATTACTTTTAAACTAACGCTTTGTATTATAAAAGTTGCTCCATTTTTCCACCAGTGCAAATAAGAATCTAACATGTTGGTGTGGTTTACATTTATGGTTTTCCACGTATAGTTTGCATTGTCTTATACATAGAATGACTTATCCCGTAATTCAAGAACTGCGGTCGACATTCACTACACTAAATATGATGCTTAAATCAGGATGGCTTTGTAATATAGATTAGACATTTAACTGAAGTAATTATATTAAGAACTTACGTGCATCCCTAGCTACGTTTTAATGTTTTTGAGCCGAATCCTAATTCTTTTTCTATACATATAATAAAATTGTAACTAAGCCGAATCTGTAATAATTTTTTACTGAAATAAACATTATTATGGATACTGAGGCTGAACCTAAAGTTTTTAGAATTTTTGTCTGTTCTGTCTGTCTGTCTTTCTGTTACCGCATCACAGAAAATCCACTGGAGGGATTTTGATGAAATTTGGTATGGTGATATCTGGTTATCCGGGTCAACATTTAGGATACTTTTTACCCCTGGAAATAATCTCATTTCTGAGAAAAAATACAAAACTGCAATTTAAGAGTATACTAATATGTAAAACCTAAGAATTTGGTTTTTGGTCATCTGAACGCGGGCGAAGTCGCGGGCAATACTCGTCTAAAATAAAATTAGCCTAAGTTACTCCTTATAACATCAGCTATCTACTAATGAGAGTCCCGTCAAAATCAGTTCAGCCGTTTTGGAGATTAGCCGGAACAAACAGACAGATAGACGGACAAAAATTTTAAATATAGTGTTTTTCTTATTCGTACTCGTATTGTATAAAGTTAATTAAGTTAGTAAACGAATGATTACTTAATTTTCACATACTTTATCATAACAAGGAGTTAATATATGAACCAAATTCATGTTTGCTCATTAAAAGTACATTCAGAATTTCTAAATTAAGTTACAATGAAAGCAATAAAACCAGATTGCCGGATACCAAACATGTAAACAAAAGACTGTAACAAGCGAGAAAATTATCTTGCGGAATCTCTTGAAATTTTAATGAAAAGATTCTTGGTATACTGTTCTTTTTCTCCTGCCGGGTTCAACTTTTTATGGGTCCATCTATCCATACTAATATTTAAATGAATATTTATTATGTTACTATTACATATTTATGTGGCTTAAATTAATTTTGAGTTATTTTGAAAATCTATGTTTTTTTATTATAAGCTCATTGTCTTTTACATTACATTTCCTTTGTTCGTTAAGCATTAAAAAATCTTTATTCTTTAGAGTTTTATTAGAAATATAACTAAATATAACGGTTTAGAGGCAGTAGCCCAGTGGTAACGCGCTCGCTTGGGAAACCGAGTCAAGCGGGTTCAAGTCCCGGGACTCGCACCTCTGACATTTTCATGTGTGAATCATTTCAATCATAATTACCACTTACCTTACGGTGACGGAAAACATCGTGAGAAATTCTGCATATCTAAAAAAACCTAGTTTTCTAAAGACATGTGAAGTCCGCCAACCCACACTTGGCTAGCGTGGTGGACTATGGCCTGATTCCCCTCCCGTTGAAGAGATGCCAGTACCCAGCAGTGGGTCCTTAAAAAGGGCTGAATACAATAGAAATATTTATAATAAACAAAACTCATCTATTACAAGTACCGTTATAAGAGATGAAAGTAAACTGTCTCTTTCACAACTTCATAAAACTTAGCTAAAGTTTTGTGTTCCAAAACTACACTTAAATATTTTTTAAGTAAATTATAATTTCTTATGTTTTTTTTTAATTTTTAGTATAATGTCTATTTGACATTATTTTTTTATAGATTTAATACATACTATGCGAATATACTCTCATTGGCGGCCCATTTAAATTGCGCGCGTTGCGGTGGGTAATTGTGTTGTGAACAGCAAAATTACGCTCATTTTCGACTTTGATATTTTTTTGCGGACTCTGTATGTATTTTTTTTTGATTTGTGCTTTGTATATTTATATTATTAATTTTGTAGAATTTGAGAAGGATTTTGGATAGAAGGATCGTCTTAAAGAGGATAGATATCTGTAATGATGTCATTTATACACGAGTTGCCTTTCGGGCTCTCGTGAGAACTCTCCCTGTTTTTCTGTATGCCTTATTTCTTAATAATATTTTTAAGATAAGCCAAATAAAATTAAATGTGTATAAAATATTTGGTTTTTATTTCCTTATGCATTACTAGCGATACGTTTTAAAGTTTTGTATAGATTTCAAGATGACATATTTTCATATATTAAAAAGTATCCTATATGTTGACCCGAATAACCAGCCATCATCATACTAAATTTCATCAGAATCTGCCTCGTGGTTTTCTCGTGATTCTAAAAACTATAGATTTGGCCTCTATATCGATAATAATGACTATTCCAATAAGATTTTCCAAAAAAAAAATCAATGTACAGATTCTACTCAGAATTTTATTATATGTATATATACATAATAATATGTTGTGTTGTAATAATCTCGCACATTTTCTCTGAGAGGCTCGGCTTACTCTCAAGTTTTGTTTATCTCCCCACCTTACGATTTACGATACAAACTCAATTAGCTAGTGAAAATGCACTCTGATTAAAGATTTCTCAAAAGCTCAGGGCTGTTTTAAAATTATGTAAGAAAATCTCAGCAGTATTTTTAACTTAATTTATACAAGATCAAAGTTTCTAGTAATATTTTCATAATAATATTGTAAATTTTCATTTTAAATTCATGAAAATTTCATACAGAGCAGTGCGATATAACCTGGATTTTTCAATAATTACGTTGGAAGTTATAAAGCAGATATTGCATTTTTGACGATTCATTTTATTTGATATAAAAATTATTACTGTTTCTAGCAAATAAAAAACCTTTATTATCGTTTTCGCTTAAAGTATTTAAAGTTATTACTGAAATTTGCTATTTATTTAACTTTTAGTATTAAATCGTTGAACTGACTTCCTTGAAAAACGTACAGAGATTGGTTTTGTTCTGTGTAAAAATTACTGGGTAATAATCAAATGTGTGTTAATTACCTTATATATAATAAAGCAAGATAAAAACAACCCTAAAATACGTTACTTCTTCTCTAAATAGGTGCCGACTTCATATTTTTATCGACTTTAAAAACCATGGGGTACTCTTTTATTCTATGCATCAATTTTATATATTAATTATCTTTTAACAAATAAGTTGTACCTCAAGACTTCATATAAATTTCAAAAATAAATTATACACCTAACATTCGAATAATTACTTTTAATTAGCTTCGAAGCCAGTGCACCCTTTTTATCTATACTAATATTATAAAGAGGTAAAGTTTGTGAGTTTGTGATGTTGTAGGGGGTAATCTCTGGATCTACTGAACTGATTTAGATGAAATTTGGTAAGAGGATAGTTTAAGACCCTAGGAAGGATATAGAATACTTTTTATCCTAGAAATTATCCCTTAAGGGGGTGAAAATGGGGATGAAAGTTTGTATGGGGAATCGATAAATCGTAAAATCGGTCAAGCCGTTTCGGAGATATTAAATTATATATTAGAAGGTTTTATTCATATCTTCTATAACAAACATTTTTATAGAATTTTCTACCGACTTTTTACAACGATTTCAAATACAAAGCTATGTAGAAAGAAAAAATAAAGAAGTAGTTGACTCTTGATAGATATAAAAGACTCAACAGTATAAAATATGTTATATTTAACTAAAACATTATACACAAAAATCGACAAGAGCAGTACTCTAGGGTACAAACGCTTCACTATTTTCTTACTGTTTTGGTACAAGTCGTCATTTTCCAAACAATATTCTCCGTGACGCGCGTCCCACGGGCCCGGTACAGTGCACGGAGTCAGGACGAAAGCAAATTCAAATTACATTTCATATTCCTATTTGTCTTCTACACTGATTTATAAGAATTGTATCTGTATTTTGCTTCTTTAGTTATTTCGTTTAATTCAGAACTCCTTACTAAATTTAATTATGTTGGGACATTTAAACACCCATGATTTGAGTACAAACACTCGTGCTCATCACGCAAATGAATGCCCCCAGTGGGACTCGAACCCGCGACTGCGGACGCAGCAAGTAGAGTCAACATAAACTGATCCTAACGTGTCATCCTCAAAGTAGTGTAATATTATATAGTACTTTTTACAATACATTAAAAACCTATCTAAAATAATCTAAGTAGACTTAAAAGGTAATAAAAAAAAACGACTGTAAAAAACGAATTAAACCATAGAAACAAGAGTTCGTAAGAAAATTATAATATGTAGTGCAATTAGTATAATATAATGGAAATTCTATTTTTAAATATTCATTGTTTCTATCCGCTACACTATTGGGAAAGTTCAGTCCGGTTGGATAAAGTTTTAAAAGTTCGCTTAAATAAAACTTAGAAACAGGAAAACTTACCCTAAATATTTTTTGAATAATATCTACAAATACCTATATACAAATATTTAATATGTGAAAGTTAATAGTAGTCTATTATTAGACAATATCTAATATCTTAGGTTAAGATATGAATGGACTGACAAGTCTTTTAAGGATAAAAGTCTATAAATAAAAATAGAGATAAAAAAATGGAGTTTATTTTTGCTATCTTAAAATAATTGTCTTATATACAAGCTTTTTAAAATAATTTAGTTTACCAAGATAACATTTCGATTTTCCGGGACTTCCGGGACAAAAAATAGATATATAACATATTTTTTCTTTTATAATTTGTGAATATAATATTGTTGACATTAATAATAATCTGTTCCAAACTTGCTTTTAGCGATAAGTAAATTGGATAAATCTCGAATTGATAATATAAATATCGGATAGTAAAAATTAAAATAATTACAGCAGTCTTACTCTAACCGCATCAGAATCACTACCTGAAACTTAAACATGCTCTCTGAATTTAGAAAATTGAAACTTTTATATCTTTTCCACTCATTTCTCGATCATAACTGCAGTGGAAACATAGATAAGGAGGATTTTGAACTAGCAGTGGAAAGTATAGCTAAATTAAGAGGCTGGAGTCCTGATGACGAAAAATATAAAGAAACCCAAAATGCTTTACTAAATATATGGCAGGCATTAATCAAAGCAGCAGATGCAAATCAAGATGGGCAAATTTCTATTGATGAATGGTTCACTATGTGGCAAGAATATACCAACAACCCATCTAAGCCTTTAGAGTGGCAGGATTTGTATTGCAAATTTATCTTCGATCTTCAGGATGATAGTGGAGATGGATCTATAGATGTTGAGGAATTTTCAAGTGTGCTTCAGTCTTTCGGACTTTTAAAAGAAGACTGTCAAGTGGCTTTTGAATTCATGTCCAGAGGAAGAAAAACTATATCCTGGAAAGAGTTCCAAGAGTTATGGAAAGAATATATAGTGTCAGAAAATCCCAGTGATCCCGGAAATTATATTTTTGGATCTGCGACCTATTGATGACAGATATATTTTTATTTCTTGAATATATAAATTTTGAATTTTAGGTCATAATTACATATATTATAAATTTCCTTTCTAGTTTTGCTTTTTTCTTTCTTGATGTCTAATCGCCTATTGTGTATGTATACGAAAATTTATATATGTGTGTGTATTTATATAAAAATCTGACGTTTTCTTTACTATTTCACACTGAAACGGCTGGAGGAATTTAGACGATACATAATATTTTGATAGACTATGATCTGGAGTAGCACAAAGGGTCCTGTTAGACACCAAGGGAATCCTACCCAAGAGAACTCACCTATCCACCCTAGCAAAGTGAGGGTAAGTCACTAGTTTATAAAAAAAGGGATTAAATATTTAAAACCTTTTTGTGAATTTATATAAACAAAATGATTCGCACATGAAAATATCAGAGGTGCGAGACCCGGGATTTGAACCCGCTTCACTCGGTTATCCAAGCGAGCGCGTCACCACTGGGCTACCACTGCCTTTTTTTTTTCAACATGATTACCACTTGCCTTACGGTGAAAGAAAACATCGTGAGGAAACCTGCATGTCTGAGAGAACCTAGCAAGTTTTCGAAAGACATGTGAAGTCCGCCAACCCGCACTTGGCCAGCGTGGTGGACTATGGCCTGATCCCCCTCATATAGAAGGGAGGCCCGTGCCCAGCAGTGGGACGTTAAGAAGGGCTGAATACATATAAACAAAATAGTATCATTCTAAAAAGAAATTAGAGCTTCTTGCAAGTAATGAATACAAAAAAAATAATTCTAAATAAACGCAATATTAAAAACAAACAAACTCACAAATATAATTTCATATAGCAAAAAAACACTAATCTTCATATAATAATGTATGAGGATAACAAATTCGTAGGTCGCGTCACGTACACTGATAGCGTGTATCATTTGATAAGATCGTAATCACTTAATCACGCACTGTTCGCTAATGAATGTATCTCATATCAAAAGCATTCGTTAATATATGAAATGAGTTATCAGTATTAATTAATTATTATTTAATTGTGAATTTATTACTCAATTTTCATATTTAATTTAATGATTTGTAACAAATATGACTTTTGAATTCAACTAGCTAAACAAGTAACTTATAACTTTTTTGAAAATAGTTTTTCTATTGGATTTTTTGATATGTATGAAGAGGTATCCCTTGAGTTATTTATACGTATAATAAAATTCTAACTGAGTCGAATCTGTCCATTAAATATTTTTTTGGAAAATCTTGTTGAAATAATCATTATTATCGATATTGTGGCCGAATATATATTTTTTTGGTTTTATGTCTGTCTGGGAACGCATCACGAAAAAACCACTTGACACATTTTGATGAAATTTAGTATGAAGGTAGCTGGTTATCCGGGTGAACATATAGACTACATTTTACTACGGGAAAATATCTCATCTCTGAGAAATCTATACTAACCGTTAAAACGTACCTAGGGACGAACCCGAGCAGGGTGAGGGTGAGTTGCTAGTTAATAATATATATTATATTATTTAATAAAAAAATACGAACTTTTATACATAAGGCGTTTAAGAGCAACCTCCTTTTTCAATTCGGTTAAAAGATATAAGTGAAACAAATATATTGATGGACACTGTTACTAATTTTATGCAAAAATCTTATGTAATTGTCACATTGGTCTTGCTTACTAAGTAGGATATCACGGGTTCAATCTCTGTTATTTGTGTGTACCAAAACATTTACTTAGAGTACTAATAAAATATTACACAAATCAAAAATAGTGCACAGAGTATTTTTAATCCTAACTTTTAAGTCTAATCTCAATAATCATCATTAAATAAGTTCTTTTATGGATATGACAGTTATTTAATTGAAATGATGATACGGAAATGTTTGTAAAAGTCTCACTAAGTTCATATATTTTTGGCTGAGTTGATACTTTTTACATACCAAAACCTAAATCCTTAAGTTTATCCTACAATGATGTATAATTAACAATAAAACCGATTCTACTTCAAATAGTACCATAAAATTGATATCAAAAATCAAAATAAAGAGCAATTTAAGAGGCATATATCTGTAGACATATAACGAATGTATTTTTCATCGGGCGTTATAAATAACGCTTTAACCCTCCGTTGCTGGCGGTCCCAGAACGAATTAACATTTCCTTTCGATTGTGAACGTCTCCCGTCTAGGGAAGGCATTTCACGTAACACGCGGAGACTCGAAACAACTTCATCTGCAGAGACTATGCTGGCAAAATATCTTAAAAGTGATCTGGTCTGGGCTTATACCTACCGATGCTTTTTAGGGTTCAGTAGTCAAAAGACAAAAGATTTGAGTCAATATTGACATATACATGAGTAAATAAGTAAGTTGGGACATTAACACACATCACCATCTAGTTCCATGGTAAGCTAAGAGGCTTGTGCCAAATAGTTGATATACTGCACATATATAACTTTAAATGCATACATATTATAAATATAAACACCCATGACTGGAGTACTAACATTTGTGCTCATCACTCAAATGAATACCCCTCAGCGGGACTCGAACAAGCGACCGCTGGCACAGCAAGTAGCAAACTTAGCCAAACGTGTCGTCGCATTAAATAAATTATCTCAGACAAATCTTTAAAATTGAAATAAATGACTTTTTTGTTCAAACAAATATGTAGTTGGCGAGTTACATATTTTTTCTTAAGTATCAAATATTGGGGGTCCACTTATTTCAAAGTGATTAGTCGAATTAAAAAACTCAAATTAAAGATCCAACACCGGAATCTTCAAACACAATTTTATCTATACATATAATAATATTCTGAGTGGAATGTGTACATTAAATATTTTCTTGAAACTCCTATTGAAATAGTCATTATTATCGATACAGAGGCCGAATATATAGTTTTAGAATTTTTGTCTGTCTGTCTGTCTGTTTTGAAAGGCATCGCGAGAAAATCACTAGGTAGATTTGTATTTTTAGTTTAGGAAAATAAATTATCTCTGAGAAATCTATACTAAACGTTAAAACGTAAAAAACATTCGCTAGTTATATATAAAAATATTCAATATACCACTTTTAGTACATAATGATTTACTTATCTCCAAATAAAACTATCTTTGCGAATTATTTCGATCGCGAAAAAATCCGAAAAGATAGTTATATTTAAAATATCATATATTTGCATAAATCCAAGAAAGTATTACTTATCTCTAAGTAGCTTTTTATATTAGACTAATATTCCAAGCCACTTGAACGGGGTAAAGAACCATATTTGTCACTCTCCTCCGTGCTTCTTACTTTGAAAAATAAAATAAACAAATTTTCATTAAGCCATATACATATTCATTATTTAACCGTCTTAAAGTATAAATTTATAAAAATCCATACTACTAACCAGGTTTTTTCTATTCTTTTATTAGTTTTATCTATATAAGATTATCTTTTCTGTCAGTAAACATTAAAGAAATTTAGTTGTATGTACGTATATTTACATTAGATACATATAATATTCACAGGCAATCTTGTCCAAACAATTAATGTATCCCAACTCTATTCAAATGCAAAAGCATTAACAGAATGTCATAATCAAGCGTCGGAGACTGTTTACCTTATATAGGCATCTTATGTGTAATCCAATAACAAAGGAAGATGACTGATGACGTCGCACGTCAAGGGTTAAGTGCCTTTTACACTTAGTGGTATATGGGATTGATTCATTTTTTATCCGACTGCGATCCCTTAAAGGTGGGTTACATGTAGGAAAACTCGCAATAAGTACAAAATACTAGCGACTCGCCCTTGCACCGCTTCGGGTACGTCCGTGGTGAAAAATAAATACAACCACGGGAACCGTACATTTTCAGGGATAAAAAGTATTCTATGTGTATTCCAGGCTATCTATATATATTTCTATCTCTGTGTCAAATTTCATGCAGATTCGTTCAGCCGTTCTGGTGCGATTGAGTAACAAACATCCATCCAAACTTTCGCATTTATAATATTAATAATGGGATATACTCGTATCTCTGATGGTATAATACTATTTTAGTTTGCTCTTTACGCAGTTGAATTTTTTATTTTTTGGGTCGTTATTTTTAATGAATTAGCAATGCTATGTGCTATAAGTAAATGTTCTTAAGAGGTTGGTATTAGTAAAAAAGTCCGATTTTCTTTTCTCGAATTCTTCCCAGAAGAACTACTTTCCAAGCTGGTGGTAGATACGTCATATTGAACTTACATACTAATATTTAAGTTTTAATAATTTAAAAAGTGACGAATCAAAAGTGCTTGCAGACATCTATTTGATTAAAGTATATTTTGATTTGATCGCGTTATTTTATTATCCCTCTACCGCAGTAAGTAACACGTCTTCTTAGATAGAAGGCCATCGACGAAAGTTTAAAGTCGTGAAGTAGATCTTCTCAGTAGTATCGTGCTCATCTCGTGAGATATAACACAAATATTAATGATCGCTACGATTGTGGTAGTAAGTGAGTTTCTATGTCACTAGCCTTAAGCTTTTTATGAGCTTTTGACCATATGTTGGACTTAAATGTATTGTATAGCGTTAGGTGCATAATGGCAGCTTATAAGGAAGAAAATCATTTAACTCAAATAAACTTCTTTTTTTTTTAAATTTTTAAATAAATACTAGTGACTTACTCTCGCTTTTCGCAGGTGGTCCTATTTATATTGGTTATATTTATATCTATTTAAAACGTACCTTTTTAGACGTTTTAAATAGATATAAATATTTAGTAGACAGCGTTAGCCATGTTTTTTTTCGTGAATTTTTCTGATGTTTTAATTATTATTCTGCTATTCGGGGCGGAGACAAAATTTATCAACTTTTACACATATGTATAGGTAAAAAGATAATGATAAAATATAGATTTTAGCAATTATAGCTTATATAGGAACTCTCTTAATTTATGAAAAAAATAATGTATAAAAGTATATTTTATTTTGAGTCTATAGTAATTAAAATTATAGTAA